AGAGAGAGAGAGAGAGAGAGAGAGAGAGAGAGAGGGAGGGAGGGAGGGAGGGAGAGAGAGAGAGAGTACACTCTGCGAGGTAAAAGCGATATTTGGAGCTATTGGAAGAGAGAGAAAGAGATTAATTTATGAGAAGTGAAAGAGAGAATAATATTTATGAAAGATAAAAGCGATCGTTCAAGTGACTGAAAGAGAAGATACTACATTAACTTGTGGGAGGTAGTAATAAACGTAATTAACGAGCGAAATCACAGAAAAGGTAACCACACTTACTAGCTGGTATTGTAAATGTGATTGTGGTTGTTTTAGTCTCTATAAGAACGAAGCGGACACATGTTTCCGACCATCAGTAGACCAACCCCAATACTGCGGCACATGGTGGACAATGATACACAAATCAGTTTAGTTTTTGTTTTAGTAGAGGTTTTACGGCGCTTGCAACTGCATATAATAAGGTCATATGATGGTAACCTCTGAACCAACAGACATCGAATGATCTTGTCAGTACGTTAGTGTTCAGCACCTATAAATGGCTGCTTGCACTGTATGCTTCCCAGGAAATTGGCGGGGTTTTTTTCAGAATGCTCTCAGGTCTGTTGGGGTAATAGTACTGATTGTGAAGCGCATAGAGCTTGCTGTTGAGCGAGGATTTGTGCTATACAAAATGCTATGTATTATTATCGACGATACAGTCATTTATCAAAGAATCTCTCTTATCCTCGACTTTGACAACCAGTAAATTGAGACCACTATTTTCTTTGTAAAATGAGAGGCAGCGTGGTGGAATCAGGCTCTCGTCAATTTTTGGGCATGTAGAGTTATTGGTGCCATCTTAAAGCTTGTTTACTTTTCTTTATTTGGGTGAAAAAAATATCCATTTATCTTGAACACAAATCGAGATATTTGTGAATGAAGGAGGTGGGGATACCTGTTTTCAAAGGTAAAATTAGCGAGAAAATGGCAGCCAAAGCTTGGTAAATTCCAAAACTGGAGAGTTCATGGAAACTGTAAATTTATATTTTTGTGCCTTTAATCAACGTTTTCGGTGAAATCCTCAAAGGAATGTGTTTGTAAATGGACATAAAAGGTGTTGTGCCAAAAAACAAAAATTTGATAAAAATTGCTAAGCAGGGAGAAAACTGCTGTTTTCTTCGGTTTCATTATTTTGACGAGAGCCTGATTCCACCACGCTGCCTCACATATTGTGACGGTTATCATCAGATACCAAACACCCACAGCGCACGGTCAAAGACAAGAACATGGCTTATAGTATAAGCTCGTTCTCTATAACACTGCCGGTTTCCCTGTTAAGTATAAATAGTCTACTTGGGTACTTCCAGCCTTATCAACATCCGCTCTGTGTTGACTCCGAGCCATGAGTAAGTAGCAGTTTACCGAAAACTTGGAGGTAATGGAGGAAAGAGAGAGGGTGAAAACTGGGCAATCAGACGGGGATGGGTCTTTAAAGGATGGGTCTATTTATCAACGCAACGGAACTAGCGATATGAGAAATGGGACATCGCAATCTACGTATGAGTAACTAGTTGAGAATGTGCGAATTGCCTAAGTATCGGAACTATTGAAGTTAACGGTTTCTAATGCTTGCCATGTACTCTAGGGAGCAGATATCCCGATAATCGTATGCAAATGTCGCGGAGGTAATCAGCCGCGAAGAACTGCGATTTACGACGGCAGATTCGAGTACGTTGTACCAAAAGTATCGTCAGGACACGAATCGGACTGTAGGGGCTACGGTATACTTCAAAAATCTTAACGGGATTTTACCGCAAATGTTTCACATTTTAAGTCTAAATATTGACCAAAAACAAGCAGTGCTGTGAATTGTTGTGAATGCATCCTCTTTTTTTTAACGCATCAATCGTCCTTATCTTTCCCCCTTCTTTTTTTTATCTTTGTTACCATCGCGTAACACATCTATTCTTCGGCTCTTACATCACCTTGTTGTGTAACAAGAGCCGTAAAACTCTTACGAAAACTAAAATTAAAACAAACAAGGAGGTTTTATCATCAATCCCAAGCAGCAATAGACACATGTATGACGTTCTCATCACCGGACCCAAACTGTGAAGGTTCCTTCCTAGGTCCGCCTCTAAGGAGATTGGACCTTTGTTGAACAATTAACTCAGTTTGTCTTGGAAATAATCTATCTATTCTGGATCAAGTATAAGGTTAATTAAGAAGAATGAATTTCTCGACAGTAAAAGTTTTGCAACCGTTTTCCCAAGCGTTTGAAACCGTCTTGGTCCTTTACTGGTTCTTCAGGTTTCCTATAATTTCCAGCAAGACGAGTTTTTGTACTCTGAAAAAGGATTCGCAGGTGGCCTTCTACAGCTGCTTCCTCTGCCTTCTCTGCCAGCCTGTTCATGAATTCCTCTTTGTCTTTTCTTTGTGATTTCTTTAGGCTGTTCCTGGATAATACGTCCTTTTATATTCGCTGGGATGTGGACAGCAAATAGAGTCCTTCTACAAGCGTATGGTACAGGAGTTTAACCATCCATTAGAAATGCTAATCAGGGTACTGCATCGATTCTCGACATTCTGGGCCTGAACCGTTTGATTCGCGGCTGATTATCTCCCCCTGTCTATCTCCCCTCTTGACCGGAAGTCGGGGTAATTCAGACGAGTCATCGTCTGGTAATCAACGAACTTCCCGCCCATTCTATCTGTCCGCCATTGTTACAGCGAGCCTAGGATTGATGAGCGAGGGTTGTTTCAGAGAGTCTTCTGATGACCGAACGACAAGCGGTGACAACTCGTCAAAGGCGGTAAGTCTCCGTTTGAAGGGAGAGTCGTAATTGCTGTCTATCTTTGAGCTATTCTCGCGACAGCGGACGGGCAATTGGCCGTGTGAGCGATTGGTCAGGAGCAATAAATACATGTAAATAACTAAAGGATTCGCTACATCTACTGAGAGAGATGGG